AATATTTTAATAAATAAAATAATTGGATCTTATAATCATATATGCATAGCTGTGATACTAAATGAAAAAGATAATTTTTAACTCATTGGTCAAAATCAAGAACAGAAACAAGAAAATGTTAATGCGTGAAGAACTAGTATAACTTTAGATATGTGAAGAGCTGTTGCTTATTAATTCTGAATGTTTGTTAAAAATTATATTATGATTTACTGATTGAGAAATTTATATTAGATTTTACATTTTTTTATTAATATCATTGCATTTTTTATTATTTTTTTATTGACTCTTATAATTTTGAATGTTTGCTAAAAATTCATAAGGTTTTTTAAAATCTTATAAATTCATATTGTCATTTTAAATCTTACAAATTCTATGAAAATTCTTTAAAATTCAATATTATAAAATCTTAATTATAAAAAAAAAGTCTTTGAAAAAGTCCTTAAAGTGCCTCAAATTCTAAATAGTCTTTTAAAATTTACGATATTTTTTATCTCAAAAAAAATCTTTTAAAATCATAATCCAATATATCCCTTATTTAAAATTACAACTCTCAGAAATTGAACTAAATTGTGTTTAATTGAAGGGCGCAGAGGACCGTTAATACACACATGATTTGATTTTTGCTAGTTACACTCTCTGACCTATATAAGATAATTTAGGTTTATCAATTAATTTACCCCAATGAAAAGTTGCTATAATGAAATAGGTAGAGGAAAATCTTGACAAATGGTGAATTACACAGTTCCCAGCATGCGAATATTCTGATCGATGTTGTTTTGTTCGATAGAAGAGATATCTTTTTTAACTAGCTAAATGTAATAACCAGAAATACGATAAGAAAGATAGGAAAGTGAGTTTGGTATGAAAGTTAAAAAAAAATATGTTTGATTGGGCAAAATTTTATAAAAAAAAATTGGATTAAATAAGTCATATTTTTGGTTCACCTCTTTTTATTTCTCTAATTTTCTTGAAATACCACTTCACAAATGGTAAACCTCACAAATGGTAAACCTCAAGAGTACATTCTCTCCCTTTTTGCATGCAATTCACAAAGGATGAAAAAAATAGATTGGTGGATAAATTTTTGTATGTCGACTACCAAACGTTGACAATATGGAATGCCAACATCAGATGAATGAGGATCCAAAAATAAAATCTGAATCAAACACTACCTTATAGTCATGTACGAATTCGATCCGTGATTCGATATTCCTCGTTTGAAAAATTATTTGATCCAATTTTATTTTCAACACATACACCGTCTCTTTTCAATTTTATATGATGGCCCACTTTTTAACTTTCTACTACTATTTTTTATCTTTATCTTAGTTAATCAATTAATGTGGCTGGACCCTTCATTCTTAAATATATTATTTTTGGAATCTCAAAGGTGGATTTATTTATTTAGGTGTTACTGTATAACATAAAACATTAAAGAAGTCCTCATCTAACTATTTAAATTTTTGAATTAAATTGACTATTTACATAATATTAGAGTTTCAGTATCCGGGTTTGATCCTTGCCGCCCTCATTTTTTTTGTGAAATTTTTTAGCACAAATAAGTTGAGCCTGGTGTATCATCCACCTTTCAAGCTCAATGAATTCTTTTATAAAGATGCGTGTTAGAGTATAATATAAATCAATCAAAAATTATCACCCAACAACTTAAGCTTTTGAGTTTAATTAACTTTTTACATTAAGATTTAAAAGCATATAGAGTCTTTACCAAAAATATAAAATAAGAAATAAAAGCACGTGGCCATATTAAATAAAAGATTAAATTAAATATATCAACTAGACTCGGTAAGATTCATTGCCACTAATCCCAACAAATTACATCCAAGACGACAATATGTCAATATCCTTAACCCATGACCATATTTCCAACTAGGCCTGAATAGACCTCCTGTATCACCTATATAGTAGGATTATTTAGTAATTTTTTTTTTTCAAAATATTTCAATCGGTTCATTGCTTTGCAATTAATCTAATTCGAGGCGGGTCCAGGATTAAGACTTTAAACCCCTCCCAAAAGTGATACTGAGGAGATTCGAACACATTATTTAGTAAATTTGGTATAACAATATATGATTTTAATACTTTCTCTTATGTATGCAAAATTTAATACTGTAATAGCAATAATTATGAATTTAATTTTAATATATTATCAATATAAAAAGTTTTACATTTTTGTTTTGGTGAACAATAGTTTTACATTTTTATTTGGTGATAAGTTGTTATATCATTTGATAAGTTCGACAATTCATAAGATATCAAATTCATTAAATGATTTGAAAACATATTCTTAGATGAAAATATAAAATATTTTTATAATAATAATATAAAAATAAATTTAGTCATTATTACAGTAGATGATAGAGGATAATAACAGTCTACATAACTCACATAATATATGGTCAACAATGATATAATATAAGAAAATTATTTTATATTATAAGTGTTTAATTTTTTTTTTTTAATTTTTTGGTATAACCTGGAGGTTTCTCATTCAACCTCCTTCGAAGGCTACCCTTCATTGGAACAACGGATTTATTGAGCTTCGCCACTGGAGAAAGGATGAGACTAACATGTTCTCTTGTTTCCAAATTTTTTTCAAGAATTTGCTTAAGGCAGGATTTGAAACCCTAACTCAAGCAAACTCTTGAAAACTCAGTTGCCAACTAAGCTACTCTTTGGAGGTTAATTACATGTAGATGTTTGAATTGTTTTATTTTAAAATTATTTTTTTGACAATTTTCCAAGAGAACTTAAAAAATAATTTTTTTCATAAAAAAAAACGATACCGTATCAAGTGATGCTTTACGTCATTTATCATATAAGCTGCTTTCCGGGCTTTTTCACCCTTTTACTCCTTATTAATTAATTAATAACCATTTTGTCCTTGATTCGAAACTATTTATCAATCTGCCCCTCTTTAGTCGACTACTTTGCATTTTTAATCGACTAAATGGCCAAAACAGACAAAAAATGGCTGCTGGGAGATTTAGTCGACTAAATCTTCATATTTTACAAAAAAAAATAAGTCAGTATGATTTTAATCGATTAAGTAGAGAGATTTAGTCGATTAAATCTCCCAACAACCGTTGAGTCGATTAAAAATGCAAGGTAGTCGATTAAAGAGGGGCAGATTGGTAGATAGTTTCGAATCAAGGACAAAATGGTTATTAATTAATTAATAAGGAGAAAAAGGATGAAAAAGCCCTGCTTTCCCTTTATTTTAACCCGCCTTCTCAGTCTCCGCATCAGATCATGGACTTCTTTTGTAACAAAAATAATAATATGGAATCTAGTTTCTAAATGAAAACATATTGATTACCATAAAAAAAACATATTCATTAGTTGGAATTACCAAGGAATACGTCATTAAATACTTTTGAACAAGAAATAATGATATACACTAAGTTAGGAGTGGCAATACGGATCAACCCGACACGACACGTTTTCGACCCGTACACTATTTGACACGACCCTGACACGACCCGTTTTGTAAACGGATCACAAAACACAAACCCTGACACGACCCGTTGCGGGTCACGGGTCGACACGACACGACCCACAAAATTTAAAATTTTAAAAAAAATGGGTTTTTTTGAAAAATAAATAAATTAAAAACAATAAAAAATAAAAATAAAAATAAAAAAAGATTAGCTTCTGTTTCTGAGATTTTTAGTTCCTTCTATTCTTTTCTATACTAAACAATGACTATATATAAATGAATAAAAATAATAATATAATAAAATATTTAGTAAAAAAATAAAAAAATGACACTGTGCGGGTTGACACGCGAACCCGCGGGTTGACACGTGACCCGACACGTGACCCGACACGAAAAAAAACGGGTCACATTTACACAACCCTGACACGACACGCCCTGACCCGCGGGTTGACACGACACGTGATTTGGCGGGTCAGGTCAGGAGTCAACCCGCGGGTCAATACCTGTATTGCCACCCCTACACTAAGTTTATACAAATAATATACACTAAAGTCAGCTACAATATATATATATATATAAACTAAAGTCAATTAATAAGTAACATATATATAATTTTTATTAAAAATTATATAAATTCATATATTACAATATTATTTTATATATAGAATATTATTATGTCCGTAGATTATTGGTTTAATTTATTCAATTTGTTGTCCCAAAAAAAGTATTCAATTTGTGTAAACTTGATTTATGCAAATTTTTCTCCATTGAGTAGTCATTGGCTCAAGAATTGAGTTCGCTCATTTCTAACATGGTTGGTTGCGTGATTGAAGGTGGCACGGGTTCCTAGATTTTTTTAAAAAGTTTCTACAAAATGTTTTAAAACTCCTCGTCGATTTGGAGATACTGGATTATTAGTTTAACCGATGGATCAGTGTTTCAATCCTATGGTAATTAAAGAAAAACCATACTTAATTAAGGGTGTCGAATTAAACAGTTCCCAACATGCGTATACTTTGATCGATGTTGTTTTATAGTCATTTATGAAGTCGATCCGTGATTTGATATTCCTCGTTTGAAAAGTTATTTGATCTAATTTTATTTTGAATAAAGCATTTTTTTTTTATAACAGAATAAAGCATTTTTGGGTTCCTAATCACAAGTACACTTTCTCATTTTAGTCTCTTACAAAAAAAAAATAGTCCAGAGATTTTAAGAAATTCAAAATAAACTCATTTAATTCATATCGTGGTCTCTTATAAATTTCAAAAAAACCCTCATTAGTTCCTCAAAAGAACTAAAATAAATCCACTTTAAATTTTATAGGAACCAGACGACTAATTTTTTTTTCTAAACTACTAAAGTAAGTATCGTATTTTTTTTTGTTAAGGATTCAAAACGAGCTTTGCTCCTTTATTTTCTACCCATATACCATCTCTTTTCAATTTTATATGATGGCCCACTTTTTAACTCTCTTCTACCATTTTTTATCTTTATCTTAGTTAATCAATTAATGTGGCTGGATCCTTCATTCTTAAATGCATTATTTTTGGAATCTCGAAGGTAGATTTATTTATTTAGGATATAAAAGCACAGAGAGTAAAGCAGAACTTGCAACTTAATGATAGACAGGTAGTGGTGCCAAGCTTGAGTCTTCCATTGAGACTTTAGAGAGTCAACTCATTGGTTGAGAGAGGGATGGTAATCGGTTCAGTGAATTCAGACTTGTACTTCCAGAGTTTGAATTCTCCCTCCACAAAATCATAGTAACCCCCCGACAGCCTTAAGTTATTGTTCCTCGTTTCTTTTTCAACATATGGATATGTCCGCAGGTTCACTAACGAGTTATTCACTGACTCCTGCACATACAAGTCATCTAGTTTAAATAACTTCATTATAATTAGAGTAAATATCCTTTTTAGTCCCTGGCAATATCTACGAAATCCTTTTCAGTTCCAACAATAAAAAAGGACCAAATTGGTCCCTGAAAGTACAAGAAAAGGACCACTCTACATATTTGGGAGTTGACATAAGGACTAACATGACCCTTTTTTTGTAATTTCAGGGACCAATTTAGTCTTTTTTATTGCCAGGGACTAAATAGAACTTCGTAGATATTGACGGAGACTAAAAAGGGTATTTACTCTTATAATTAATTATTAAACAATCTAGCACAGCTTGCAGTGGTCGTTAATTAATGTTCAAAGCATGGTAGCTAAAAGGAAATTAAATTATGTGACTGTTTCTGAGCTAACCTTTTCACAGAATTTGCATTGTTCTTCAGAATCATAGTCTTCATATTCTTTTAGGACCTTTATTTTGGCAGGTAAACCAATTTTCACCCAATCATCTATGAAATCACTGCACAATTCAGTTAAACCTTCAGATGGATTAAGCATCACAATTTGTTCCATTATATATGGACATACATAGTGCTTTTTATTTTAACTAGTTTTTGCCAAACAAGGAACTAGAGTAGTGAAGCTATATGTTATTATTTAAAGAAATTAAGTCTTACAAAGGAGCAGAACCATCCTCTGGATGCTTCATAAGCCTTTTTATTCCACCGCAGCGACTATGTCCAATGACCAGGATGTTTGACACCTGTAAAAATATTTGATTAATTTTATGAGAAAATTTATATTTACAAACTCTTACAAATTACATTATGTAATATAGGTATTACATACTACTTGAGCATGTATTATCCATATTACATAATATAATTTATAAAAGTTATATCTCTTAAAGATTCCTATGTATTATCAATCAAAAATTCAAAAGGTAAGGAATTGAGTTTTGGGAAACTTTGGTGAGTTTATGAATAAAAACTAAAGATTTTACAAGAGTTAGGTTGTAGGGAAAGTGATTGTGTAATGTTATAGAGATTTGTTTTGCGTGCCGTAATTTTTATTTTTCTTCAAAAAGTGTGGACCCACAAAATGTTGTGTGTAGAAAAATTTGTTGTATCATGTTAAATTACAAATGCAAACCCCAAAAACTAATCAATCAATAATCACCTCAAGAGCCGTGATAGCATACTCAATGGCAGCACCAACTCCACTGTACCTTAGCTGTGGAATAGATAGGACAGTAACAAATTTGATTATTAAAACTGTAATTTGATGAAGAGATAGAGAATTAATTTCAATATTAATTTAATTTGAACTTATGGAAATGCATATACTATATAGTCTGAAAGGGACCATGTTGAGAAGAATAGTGAAAGAGAGACCTGATTAAATGGAGGGACCATGTTAGCAATGTTGCGGACCATGAAAGCTTCTCCCGGTTGGAAGTTGAGAATAAAAGTGGGACTCACTCTAGAGTCAGAGCAAGCAAATACCAGAAACTACACCACATATGAAAAATTGAAAACAGAGATTGAGGATAAAAATTTTGTAAACAAAATTACACAGACCGTAATCCAACTTTAAGTAATCACCTTAGGTTTTTGGTCAAGAGCAAGTTCGGCATACAGATCCGGGTGCTTGCTGCCATATATAAAAAGAAGCATGCATGTGTTCATATTATATAGTACTTTGTAATTGAAATAACATGGTCAGAGAGAGAAATCATATATAGGCATAATAATGAAGAGTTAATTAATTTGTAAGTGTACTCGAATTCGTTGATCTTGAAGTCAGTAAATCCTTCTATGATTTTCTCCACAGCAGGGTCAAATGGATGCGGATGATTTCCCTTCAACTCAGCTATAAGCTCCTCAATTTTTGCGGTTACTACCTCATTAAGTTCCTCCTTCTCTCTGTAACCAATAAGTTACAATATAACTTTGGGAAATATTTAACTTCAGCTATAGGAAAGAGAAGTTATCTCCATTAGTCACATGATTTTCAAGATACAGTTCCGTATCCTGAAAAGTATGTGTCAGCTGTAGATAACTTTTCTAAAGCAACAGTAGATTAATAGAATCCTATAACTTTATGTTATAATGTATACTTCATTAAATTAGTTGATGTATGCGTGCTACAACGGAAAGGAAAGTGATTATCATGTGATTAAGTTTAAAGGGTAATTAACCTGAGAAGCTTCTTCAGTTCTTCAATGGCCAGATCAGATGTCTGCTTTGCCATAGTTATCACTTTCTGCAGATTCCAAAGGCTGTAACTAATTAAACTGCTCAAAAGGCAACAATATAATATTATATGGTAAAAGTACTTCTAGAATAATTTAATGAATTTGTGCAAGGCTAATCATATAGGCGAACTTAATACTAGTTTTCCAGCATGAAATTTTTTTGCAATTCCAGTGCTGGAAACTGATCAGTTAAAGGGTTGTTTGAGAAGGGAAACTAGCATGTAGGAATAGGGGTGAGATACTATACCTTCTGCAGCCAGGTAATGGCTTTGCTTAGATGTGATAGAAAGTAAGAGAGATATAGAAACTAGTTAATTTGCTGATACATTTCGCAGTGCCTGTGTAACCTATTTATAAGCTGAACCTGAATAATATATGTTAGAAAACATTTTGTTTTGACATACTTTCTTCGTGAATTGATGTTTAATGTTTTTGTCAATTTAAACATTAGATTAAAAGTTTTGTTTGAATTGCTTACGACCAACTCACCTTAAAGAGATAATTAAGGTTGATATACCAAAAATAAAAATTTTCATTGAATACATCAAATTTACAATATTTAATAACAATTAATTGATGCTTTATCGCACAATTTGTTATTAACTAATAGTAACTATAGAGTAAACATTCATTTTGATTTTTTCACGAATGCCTTCTTTTTCGGTTTGGTTCTCTAAAATTAAAATTTTCAAAAAGGACTTTTCAGTTTTAAAAAATTGCTATTCCTATCTGAAAAGTTTTTAATTAAAAAAATATAATTTAAAGAGGATCGATCAGATTGAAAAAGAAAACATCTATGAACAAAACCTTTAATATATAAGGGTGAATTATTTTATTTTTTTTAAATTTTAAGTAATTTAAAGTTTAGAGTAAACTCCCTTTTTGGTCCCTAACAAAAAACACGGTCCCCACTTTAGTCCCTTACAAAAATAAATTAGTCAGTTAGTCCCTAACAAATTCAAAGTGAACCCATTCTAGTCCTTTTGAGGAACTAATATGGGTCTTTTTTGAATTTGTGAGGGACCACGATTTCAACAAAATCGGTCCACTTTGAATTTGTTAAGGACTAACTTATTTTTGTAAGGGACTAAAGTGGGGACCGTGTTTTTTGTTAGGGACCAAAAATGATATTTACTCTAAAGTTTATTACTTTGTAATATACAAAATTATACATTTTCGTTATTTTGGCAAAAAAGTAGAATACATTAGCCTCTTGTTAGCATAAAATAATGGAAAAAATGTTTATCCTAATTTTGTGTCATTTTAGATCTTAATAATTAATTTTCGTCAATCAACAGTTAAAATTTATTGGGTTAAAATTATTAATTAATTAATAATTTGCAATAAAATCCAATAAATCCTAATCGTTGATTGTCGAAAATCAACGATTATAATCTAAAATGACATAAAATTATATCTTTTAAAAGAATAAATATTTTTCCCTAAAACAATACAAGTAAACACTTTTTATAGCTGTGTTAATTGTTATTGGATGGAAAGATAACATTGAAAATTTATAAATTGAAAGTTCCTTAATTAAAAAAATAAATGTAAGAAAAACCAAATTGACAAAAATAAATCTGTAGAGCATCAAATTGATGAACATAACTCTGATATTATAGGAGAATGTATTCCTTTATTAAAAAGAAAATAATAATCATAAAAAAGAGGATAAAATAAAAAAATTCATTATATTATTTTTTCTAAACATAATAAAAAAATATACCAAGTCTTTAGTATACTATTAGAAGACGTTTAGTAGAAGATAAATTTTATTTTTTACTCAGAAATTATGATTTCCAAGAATATGATAAGAAATTTTTTTACCCAAAATGTTATTAAAAAGTTATTTGGTAAGTTAAAATTTTTCCAAAATTATTGAATTAATTTTGGTGATGTTATGTTTAATTGATTGTAAAATATCAACGAGATTGTTTATCTAATTTACAATCTTACCCTTAAACCTCGATTTTGAATGTTCAGGCTTGTTTTTTAATGATTCATTTTCGCTCAGCTCTCCCTCACTCACTATTTGATATTCACGTTTTTGTCTTACTCTCATCTTTCATTCCCCTTAGGCTCTCACTGTCTCTCTCTCACGAATAAATCTTTGGTATTATTATTGTACCAAAGATTCAGTATATTTCATCAATGAAAATATTATATGTGAGCTAAAATTCTTTTTTTTTTTCAGATTTTTTCTCTCTCCTCTAATGTGTAATACTCTCGTTGATGAAATGCACTGAATTTAAATACAACAGTAGTACCAAAGATTTATTCAACATATCGATATCGAGTAACCAGCCATATTCCAACCGCAAAGCCATTACCTGGTTGGTAAAACCCAAAAGCAAAATGGCCAGAACTTGATGCCCATTAACTAGGATCGCCTACAGGAGAGAGCGAAGACCCCAACCGAATTATTTTTTCAGCTGTGGTTCCTTTTGCAAATAGCATGAAGAACTTTAATAATAGAACAGGTGGGGAAGCCATGGGATCTGCAAACTACACTCCTGGTGTCTCAAAGAAAATGATTGTTACTGATCAACTCACTCGCCAAACCAGAATATTTACAAAACAATATTATGGGGACTACTTAATATTTATTCATTTCAAGAGTTGACTGGCTCTCGTGCACTGCTACAAGTCCTGCACCAAGAAAGCAGCACTCACAAGGGGCATTTTGGTTTGAGAGAATTGCCACTCTTTTCCCATCGTTTGAGAATTTTTTTAGAAAAATTTCGATTTTTTAAAATATAATTTTTATATTCAATTTACGATAATATTTAAAATTTTAAAAAATTTAGTTTCTCCAAAATTTAAAAAAATACTTCGTACCAAACCCAAATATCATGGTAAAGATGGTATTCTTGGTTTGGAATCTGATGTGTAAAACAAAAGTTTGGAAATTTTTCGCTCGCATACTTTTACTCTCTCTTATCAAACATTATCCTTCTTTTTTAGAATTCCAAATAAAATTCATATACCAAACAACACTTTGTAGAAATATCGAAAATATTTTCCAAATTGATATAATTTAAAGAGTAAATTTTTTTTTGAATCCCAAACAAAAAAATACTGTCTCTACTTTCATTCTTTATATAAAAAAAAAAAATCAATTTTTGATTGCTCTATAATTTCATTTCTTTGAAAATATGGTCTCTTAAAAATTAAATGAAAGAAAATATGGTCTCTTAAAAATTAAATGAAGAACTAATTTAATCTCTAAACTAAAATGAGTATTTTTTTTATAAGCAAAGAAAGTGAAACCTTAAAATTGTAGGGGACCAAAATGGCTTTACTCTAATTTAAACGCATGCATCTCATTCGAGGTAAAAGATCAATAGCAAGCACTGTCTCTTTTCATGTTCACACTGTTGTTAGACTATAATTGGACGAGAGATACAACAAAGACATCAATAATGTACATAATCTGCCAAAAACACTTAACCAATCCCCGTTTTGGAACGTTTTATCTGACTAAGTGGAACCGCGTTATTCTGTAGTAGACAAATGCCCTCGATTATCATATGGATTTTAAACCTCTCATGATGCAGAAAAGAGATATCTTATTTTATAGACTCAACATTATCGTGGGCCCACTTTTCTCAAAAATAAAATAAAAATAAATACTACACTTTATGTTTTTATTAGATATAGAAATATGTCAATAATTATATTAATGTTTTGTTCAAGTTTCTACACCGTTATTCTAAGTTTTACCTCGTTTAACGTTGTAAAATACATTTTTATTTTATTTTTAGTTTCTTAATTTTAGAATGAGAAAAATATTTGTTATTTAAATGACACAACTTTATATTATTTTTAATGAAACTATATTTTTTTGATGTATTTTTATGTTCTCTTTCCTCCATTATTTTTGTATTTTTGGTATTATTTTACATTTTTTATAAAATTAGAAAAAAAAGTGAAAGAGAGAGAATGCAAAAATACACCAAAACTAAAAATAACACAAAATTATGTCATTTAAAATAATAAAACGTATTTTTCTTTTAGAAAATAAATATCAAAGTGAGATGCTCCATACCGTACCTTATTTTTAAGATAGATGATCTTGAAATTAATGTAGAATATATTTAAGGAAAAAATATGTGTCATTTTAAATGACACACTTTATATCATTTCACTCTCACAAAGAGATGAGACTCACATATTTACAAATTTTCTCACTCATTCTCTCTCCCATAATTTATCTCTTTCTTTTATTAAAATGACATAACTTTATATACTTCAAAATTATACGCATTTTTATATTTAAACTAACAAAAAGTGTTTATTGCTAGAAATCTAGATGCGAGTAAACAGAGAAAGTTGTGGGGACTGTGTAGGATTTTATGGGTCTAATAACATTATTAATAAAAAATTAAGAATATATTTAAATTAACAAAAAAGTGTTTATTGCTAGAAACCTAGATGCGAGTGAACAGAGAAAATAGTGGGGACTGTGAAGGATTTTATGGGTCTAATAACATTATTACTAAAAAAAAGTCATTCTTCATTAAATAATTTTATAATTTAAGAACACCAAAAGAGCTAGACTTACTTAAAAATATGATTCTTGATTTTTTTGCAGGCTTTCTTACTTTTTACTTCTTTGGCACTTCTGCAAGGTTGGAAAGACTAGGATCTTTCTCTGCAATTCACACCACTCTCCGATCACAACTGTCAGTGAGACAAATTGTGGAGTGATGATTTTCCAACACACTGTGAATGCAAAGGGGATCTAGCCAAACTTATTAACCCTAGTCCCTTTTTCATCATGGGTCTATAGGTTAGGCATATACTGTTACCTACACTAATCAGTTTACAGATATCCAAGCCCAAACAAAAGGATCACTTAATTAAATGAGTTTTATATTGCACCCCCATATGGATCATGACTTAGCCTATTTTTATAAAAATAATAAAAATTACAATTGATTGAAGCCCACAATTATAAAAAATTCTAACATTCTCCCACCTGGGCAAAATTAATTGTACAAATTTAATTAAAAAAATGAAAAAACAAAACAATTTATTTGAAAATGACTCTCGGGCTAAGGAAAATTTTTTATATTGTGGCCATATTTTAAAAAAACACATTATCCAAGGTACGATATCTGAATATGACTCCATCCAACTAAAGTCAAACAACAATGAATCAGGCAATGATTATATCCCTTACCGATATAAGACATTTCATGATCACAAATGTTATTTGACTCCGTTGACTAGTCATCAGTGTGAAGTGAAGCAAGAAAATAGCATGCCAATGTGATCCAACAACAACCAAACTGTTATTTTCTCTGTTAGTCTTCAAATTTCTCTCAAATGCCTTAAAGTCAGAGAAATTCTATGGTTTATCAAAAAACCA